AAATTCTATTATCGAAGTAATTCAATTAAAAAAAATATCATAAAATATATATCCCTTCTTTATTAATACTCGCACCATTTAAAAGCCTCATAAACATTATGAAATTATCGAACTCTATAGTAAATTAACATAATATCCCTAATTTCTCTGATTTCGTTGAAATTTACTTTAAAAATGAAGTTATAACAATATACGTAAACAGTTTATGTTATTACTTATCCTAATTGGTAATCTCAATACAATCTCAAAACTTCGTTTCACATTATAAAAACTGTCTGATGACGCACTTACAAGGTAGATATTTTGTAATTGATGTATTCGTTGCCTTCTTGCATGTAAAGTGTTTTTTTAACATTGAAAAATAGCCAGTCACTGAGATATTTATTATCATTGTGGTATAGTAATCACAGGTATAACTTCGTTTTGCGAATATTATCTTTACAAATTAGTTACAATAAAGCTACTTCGAGAGAGAGAAGGGGGGGGGGTAGTGTCGAACATAAGCGCTTGCTGGATCACTTGGAATAAGACTCACACGGCGTCTGAGTTTATGTATCTATACTTACAAGCTATCTTATGTCCTAAACCTGCGCTCGGAACAAGAGTGCACGCTCAATTTGGCTCGAAGTATTGTGGCACATAGGGCGACGCTCGTATGAATAGATTTCCACATCATCCATGAGGAATTATTGTTAATGCGTTTTTTTTTGTCAGTGGTATTCCCTGTAGGCCTATTTCACTGTGTCGCGTCATAATTTCGGATCGACGATAAATACGAAAAATAAATCATGGAAATAGTTTTTGATTTAATTGTCAAAATTTTCTAACCCTCTCCATTGACGCTTTCCAACATGAATAAAAAATATACAAATTTGCTCAAGGTTGATGTTGTTTACACCAATAATGTAACAGTATTTATTACTAAAATGCCGCTAATCGAAGTTGTTACCACTTTCTGTTCGTCATAACTTCTCAAAAATGTATACCTATATCAAACATACTTTTTAAATGACGTATCACTATATCTAAGGATTTGAATAATTGAAATATGACCGCATTATTTTAAATATATTTATGAACGTAACAGATACATAAATCGAGTAACTCTGCCTTCGACTATTTATCGCGCAACTAGAACGGAATAAAATTAGTTCGTAACCGTCGGGTAGTTAATATAGGAGTACCCGAGAAATCAATTGACCGTCCGGAAAACCCAACGGTCGTCTAGTGAAAAAGTGGCTAGTGAATGAAATTCAGTGAAAGAAATTCACAGTGGGTGCTAGTCTATTATGATAAAATCAACAGTAACAATATTTTACACAAAATGCCAGTGTCGTTTATTGGCCAACGTAATCGAAATATTTCTTTTCATGTTTCTAGGACCTATAACATAACCAGTAGCCGTTAAACAGCCAAAACAATGATGACCGATGTGGAACACTTATGCGGCATAGTGATATTAGCTGTCGTCTTCTACTATTACCTAATCTGGAATTACGATTTCTGGAAAAAGCGTGGCATACCCGGACCAAAACCTCGGCTGTTTTTCGGTACAAACAAGGATTTAATCCTTGCAAGAGTTACCGCGGGGAAAGTAGTACAGGATACTTACATAAAATATAGAAATGCTCCAGCGATTGGTCTGTACGACGGCAGATCACCTATTCTCGTTCTACATGATCCAGAACTTATAAAAACGGTCCTGATAAAAGATTTTCCCAAGTTCGCAGAACGTCCGCACAGATCTCATGAAAGGGTACGTATGGCAACAAAGAAACGTTAATGAATTTCACGAATTACCATGGATCTAGAGGAAAAAGAAATATTAGATGGAAGGTGAACGAGAAAGATTCTTATACGATGTTTTAAGGAAAAGCTTTAATTTTGCCATTGAATAACATTTAACTTAAACTGATCTCCTCAAAACATAATACACGCATCTTTTTTTACTGAACTCTAACTTTTCTCTATTTTTTCTTTTTTCTTACAAATACGTAGCAATGTTGCAGCATTAAAGCAACAACTTATGATAAGGAGACTTTCTTGCGTGAATCTGTGTGTATCAAAACTCATCCGTTGATAACGCTGTTGAACCAATTCTTGTTGCTTTATGTTGTGATAAATAATAGACCATTTTGATCCTGAGACTGCTGATCACGAATTGCCATTTAATCAATATTCAATCAAGGTGATCATAAGTCAAATAAGATATGATACTGGTCCAAATCTTGCTTACGGAATTTTAGTAAATATAGTGATGTCAAATAGTTCTAGCAGTCAACGTCAATGAAAAGCACGAATATAATTGAATTCATGTTACGAAAATAAGAAGGCAACTCCTACATCTACCAGCAAATATCTCACTTTCTTGCTCGTATCTAATCCACCACCGATCCACATCAGTACTCCTCTCAACTGCATCTTACGATATTCTGCGTTTAAAACAACGTCTGTGCACTGAATTCTCTCCAATTGTCCTTCAGCTTGTAAACAAACATGGACAATTTGAGAAGACGAAAATAACCTTGACATGACCTTGACAACTTGGATTTTGACTTGGGTCGATTTTGAACGGCTCGAAAAGCGACGCGTCGGTATTCTTTCAATCAAACGATTGGCTTCATCGTTACTCCTCTAGCGTTATTGGAGGACCCGTACAAACAAACTTCGCCTGCTGTTCGGTGTTCCTGCTATGATCGCAAGGGGTGATCGATATTGACCGAAGACGGTGACGAAGCTTAACAACAGATAGTAGCCAGAGCGAGTGAGAAGAAATAATGCCTGAATACGGAAAAAACCGTCTCACTCGGTCTAGATACTACCCGTCATTGACTTTTGACATCCTCTTCGACCAATATCGATTACTGTCTGCGATTATAAGAGGGACAGCGGATTGCAGCACAAATGGGACATTCCTTCAACTCGTAGTAAAATGGTACATCAGTTCTACTTCTGGACGCCTTAAACATTACTTCAAAGGCTTACTTTATTTGCCCGAATTTGTTCAAAATGAAAATATTAACCGATATTATCATGAAGATACACAGTGTTCTAAACTTTATTTTTGTCATCAATTGATACATCCCTTGGTATTTTACCGACACCGGATGAAAAACAAATTAGCATAGCGTCCGGCTTTTCAAGTAGATCTGTACCCTTCGCAAATGACATCGAAGTGATACGAAACGCTTCAAACTTGTTTATCTTTGCCTACTTCCCTGCCTGAATGGCCTGTGTGCACTAGAAACGCGGATTTTACAAGGATCGACTCATTCAATTGGCCAAGTGTCAAGGCCAAGCCAGTGAAAATGAGCCTCAAGATTCTAAGCGACGAAATAACAAGATTCTTTCCTCAAATGTTCACAGACAGAACCCTTTACCCTAGACTTATTTCATTTGGAGATGGAAAGATGGCGACGGTTAAGATCGAAGCAATCTCCAATGTTTTCACCTGGGAAATTGAGAGGCATGTTTGAACTAATGATAAAATGTTCGGAGAAGTTGGAAAAATATTTGGATCGCACAGTCTCAAGGAATGAAGTAGTTGAAATTCGTGATGTGACTACGAAGTTCGCGGCCGACGTGATCGGCAGTTGCGCATTCGGGATTGACACGAACACCTTGTGTCCGGAGGACACCGAGTTCTATCGATTGAGCAAACTTGTCACCGGCCACAGCCTTGAGAGAACAGTACGATTCAAGCTGAGAGTGTTTCTGCCAAGGTTATACGATTTACTCGGATTCGTGTGGCCTGACAAGAAGCTGTCCCCCTTCTTCATAAAGATTGTCAGGGAAACGACAAGCTACAGGAAGAAGAACAACGTCTATAGACCTGACTTCATTCAAATGCTCATGGAACTTCAGGAATCTCTAAAAAATCAGTCCGATTTTGGTAAATTTTGCAGAAAAATGAACTTACAAGATTAGTTTACAATATGTGTTGTTTTATGAAAATACAAGGGCTAGTCCAAAATTATCGGCAACATGTTTGCAGATAAAGGAAGAGAGAGAAAGAGAGAGAGAGAGAGAACGAAAATCGGGGCAGTCGGCAAACTTAAAAATCAGGGGTCAACATATTGGTGTACATTAATACACATACACAATAATGTTAGAATGAAAACGATGCCTTAACTTTTTTATTTTTTATGCATGCAATTTTTTTAATATATTGGTCAGATTCTTCCAATTAAAATGAGACGAAACACGACATGCTTCAGACTATATTTATTCAATTACATAGTGACTGATGTTGTTTTAATTAGAAAACTGTCAGTAATATGTTAAAGAAAATCAGTTTTATAATGTTAAAATTAAGAAAGTTATGTTACTGTATTATGAATTGTGATTCCGCAAATTCGAATCGAAGGAGTCGCGTCACGTGCCGCATCATACGCTTTAACCAACACGGTCGAACCATAGCATAGGCGAATAAGTAACGTACGTAGGCGTAGGAATAGCATAGGGACAATCCAAGCAAGTCTGTAACATGGACTACTAGGGAGAATTTACTGTAATCGGCCAGATTTACAATACACTTTGTCCGTCTATCAACGAACATTGGAAAATGTTTTCGTCGCGTCTGTTTTCACCGCGTCATCAGACATGAAATAGTTCCAACTTCGACCCAAAGAACTATCACTTGAGTATTTCCCTAGAAAACACTTTACGATGACGAAGATTTACGCCTAGCGAAGAGATGAAAACAGTGGTGCGTGCGTAGCTCGAAATTCGAGAGAAGATACTTTTTGTGACAGGAAATTCCAGGGATAACAGTGACGAGCGATATTTAAACAAAACAATGTTATCAATTTAGTAGCATTGCCTTATAAAGCAAAAAGCTTAATAAACTGATCTGAGACAGATTTTAGGCTGGTTCGATCACAAGTTCGAGTCTACTTAAAAGTGTTGCTCTTCTCTATCTAGTAAAAGTTTCGGATTAATTTAAATTTGACATTTTCTATTTAAATTTTCATTTATGAGCAGAGTATTGTCAGAGAATTGATGCGTGGAGAACCCCGGACATCACACATCCCCCGCAATTGTCGCAAATAACTTTTTCCCCCACGGAGATTTTTGGATAGGATCTACGCATCATCACGTGACGATCTAGTGCGTATCCCTTATATTACGTATCCCTGCCATTACACCAACATCAGCATCTGGCGCGACATGGGGAGGATAAAGATATTACTCTCGCGCCATCTATTCTCTGGCAACACTGCTTACGACTGACCACTAATGTCGAATTGTCGTTTCCAGAATTTTCAGACACAATGCTTATGGCTCAATGTGCTGCGTTTTTTGGGGCCGGTTTGGATACAGTATCATCAACTTTGAACTGGACTCTTCTCGAATTAGCTTTGAATACCGACATCCAAGAAAAGTTGCGTGAAGAAATGAAGGAATATATGGAAAAATACAATGGTGAAATCACCTATGAAACTATGAAAGAGATGGTGTACCTGAATAAAGTATTCCAAGGTAAATATAAACATATTACATACAGATGGAGGAGGGGGGGGGCAAAAATATTCGTACCCTTGAAATATAGAAATGAAAACAACTTTTCTATATAACAACTATATAACTATAAAACAACTATATTCTATATAATTAGCTATACATTAGCTACTGATTTAATTTTTACATTAATCGAAATGTTCTGATTCCATCGTAAATGTTGTGTATATCAGCATAAATAACACTATACAAATACTTTTGTCTCGGCAATTATGATCTTGTGAGTTTTTAAATTACAAAGTAATGTCTTTTTTATAATTATCGAGAGATTACTGTATTTATCTTGTCCTGTGTTCGCGGAGAAATAAGTTACCCAAGGTGTGGGGTAGTGACATATGTGCCGTGAACATTATATAATTCTAAAATAGGAGTATACATAGACTCTCTACGTCGCATCGCGATCGTAATTCGGAATTATAATAATGTTCACGCAGTGTAGACGCACGCCGCTGTACGAGAGTCCTGCGCATGCGCTGCCGGCACCCACTCCTTCCGTAACTTATTTCTCCGCGCACACTGATCTTGTAAAGCAAGATCAATAATGTCGGTCACAGCTAGTTGACGAAAGGACGCACATAAACACACACCCGAGTATCGTGAATGAAACTCCTACAATCGCGTTCGTCTCGTTTTTTTTTTATTATTCAAGCTTATTAATGTGCTTATTATACAAATAAAACTTTTATTATTTGTGCAGAAATATTGAGGAAACATACAGTAGCGCCGCTATTATTACGAGTAGCAACTTCTGATTACTATTTCGAGAGTTTGAAATTCTCAATACCAAAATCAACCCAAATATGGATTCCACTATTTGCACTGCTCAGAGATCCTGTCGTTTATCCAAATCCAACAAAATTCGATCCTGAAAGGTTCACTACAGAAGCTGTAGCAGCTCGACACCCTATGCACTATATACCCTTTGGCAGCGGGCCAAGAAATTGCATTGGTATGTATCTGCATATTGCAACCGCAGTTCTGGGAAAATGTGTGTTTGTTGCGGCATCGTTAAGAGAAAACATCTGATTCAATTAAACAAGTTAGAATTAAGTATTAATAATATTACAACTACAGCAGAATCTTAATTATACGAACAGATAAACAAAACATAATAGAACAGTTATTTAGATACAGTGTTAAATTGAATCTTTGATCTAATTTATACATACAGGGTGTCTCAGCATCGTTGGTGCAACCGAAAAAGTTCATTCTACATGAAAAAACCAATTGAAAATAAGAAATACCATTTTTCCATTTGAGCTTTCATAATCGAGACAAAATAATAATCTCGATAAAAGTCATATGTCACTTATAAATAGTACTAATATCATTAGTATCAAGATGATGAGCTCTGTTACTAATTTCTGCGTATTGATTTAGATAGATTTATTTGTAATGGAAAGAAAATTATTTCATATTTTCAGCAGATAGTTAAACTATTCAAAAATACAAAACGAAGAAATAATCTCGATCGATTTAAATATTCTGATAAGTAAATTTTTAAACATAGTGATAAGGCTGCGAAATTTCATTTTCATAAATTATGCTCTATAAACATCAAAACAATGGACTTCTTTTACTACCTAGATTAGTAGTAATTTATAATAAAAATGAATGAATGTGCTATTGAAATCTGTCAATATGCACACCTCGAACTTAAAATTTTTACATATGCCATAAACGCATACAGATCAGCGATCTCATAATAATTTTTGTAAAGTGTAGTTTGAAACGACTTAGTACGATAATATTATTTATCTTAGATATTTCATAAAATTAACAAAACATTTGCATCTTCTGCCGCAGTACATTATTTATATTACTGTCTAGAAATTATCTTTGAGGAAGTAGATACTTATTATTTGAATACATTTTCAACAGGTAGCCGTTTCGGAACATTCGAAACGAAACTCGCTCTGCTCAAGATACTTCTACGCTACAAAGTGAACATCTGTGAACAAACTAATCTTCCGTACGAATACGATACCGGCGCGATTAACCTGGTTTACAAGGGGGAACTATACTTAAAGATGACAGCAATTAAACAATGATATGACAACAATAATCCGATCATGGATTAGTGTGAAATAAAGTTTAAACAATGTAAAATAAAAACGATTGTATTACCAAGACTATTAAAATTAATGACAATATAAATTTTGTTGGCTCTATCTCAATTTTATTGCGTATACAAACAATTCAACAAATATGAATCAACGAAAACATTCCATCGGATATCTTGATAATTTGGAAATATCAATGAGTAAGTCAATGTTTGGTGACAGTGCGATGAAAGTGAACTTCGTGTTAATCATACCTGAGGTCCTTCCGACGGTATCCTTTGGAAGCTGCTGCCATCAGCCTGGGGTCAGCTGTACATTCTAAGAGATCAGTGCACCGACATCGTGAATCGTAATCGACATTTCAGAACAGCAAATGCATCATCAACTAAGTGGGTGAGTGTACTATTCATGATGTTCATGATTCTTGAATAAACATATCCTTCATGTTCTTTAACGCAATTATTTATTATTAAATTAGTATCGCGAATTGTTCGTTGAATTCTATACGTACACGGAATTATTTAAATTAAAATATTATTTACGTTCTTCGACATCAAATCAATGATGTAAAATGAATTGCATATATTTAATAGAAAATCTCATGAAGTGTCAAATGAGAAAAAGCGATAATATTTTATACGAATTTTCTAATCGAAAGTCATTTAATATGTCATTTAATCAGTCATGATGCGTTTATTGTTAACTACTCAGTACCTAGCAAAACTAAAGAAGTGCAAAGATGTATAGGTTTAGCAAGCTATTTTCGACGATTCGTACAAAATTTGGCATGACATTTTGTTTTGGTGCAGAGGAAAATAAGGCGTTCAAAGAGCTGAAAAATGGTCTCCTGTCAGACACAGTTTTGGCAATTTATTGCCCTCATATTAGAACGAAATTCCATCGTGACGCGAACAGCAGTGGATTCGGAGCGATTTTGATGCAAAGACAGCCAAATAACCGTTTGAAACCGACATTTTATTTCAGCAAAAGAACTACGGTACAAAAAGCAAAATATCACAGCCTCAAACTCGAATGTTTTAGCGGTCATTTACGCGATAAAAAGATTCCATGTATATTTGTTTAGAATCGAATTTTTTACCATCGTCACGTACTGTAACAGTTTTCGTCTCACACTCACTAAACAAAGCGTTAATCCGCGAATCTACCATCATTTATCACGGTAATAGATCCTAATCAGATGAAATATTAGATTCGAAAATATGAAGAAGACGGACAGTAAATCGTACTGATTATTTCTTCCTGTTATTTTTATGGCATTACTTTTATTCATATAAATATTATATTAGTATATATTATATTGTATTATCTTGCTTTTATTTCAT